ATAAATAAATAATGTATACTGTAGCATGTAGTTTCCTAATTATTCTTCATTGCACTTTTATTAGTAGTCACACCTTTTCTTTTATAAATCATTTTGAAAGATTCCCAGAAAATAGGTATTATCACCACAGATGATTTCCAAATATGTTGTTGAATGCAAGATTGAAGAGCTTTGCAAAGGATGTTTGAAGTTAGTTATTGATGGCTTGATAGAAATTATGGGTCACTCCGATTGCAGCTTTGTGCTTCATTGCACTTTTATTAGTAGTCACACCTTTTCTTTTATAAATCATTTTGAAAGATTCCCAGAAAATAGGTATTATCACCACAGATGATTTCCAAATATGTTGTTGAATGCAAGATTGAAGAGCTTTGCAAAGGATGTTTGAAGTTAGTTATTGATGGCTTGATAGAAATTATGGGTCACTCCGATTGCAGCTTTGTGTGTTTTCTGGCATAGGTCCATTGCAAAATTCTTCTGGAGAACATGATGAGGAAACCATGGATGTACCACAATCTTTCTGCCTCTAGACTCAAAGTTCCAGTTGCATGTCTGTAATGTTCTGTGTAACTCCAGATGCACATTTAGTCGCTAACACTTTGGTTTTCTTTTATACCATATTTCTTCAGGGCAATGGCGCATATGTATAGAGATGCTCATTGGTCTCAGCATGATCTGTGTGAGCAAATAAAGGAGGCAAAGAAACAGGTTACCAAAAGCAAGATGGAAATGCTTTCCATGAATCGTATGAAATACTATTATCAACAGCTGAATCAACGAAAGCAAGAAGGACACAAGACAACTTTTATAGATCTCTGGGGACTCATCATTGAGTATATGTTAAATGATGGGGTACAGTATTCAGTCTGTCTATTTATTGCAAAGGATTGCAAATAGCTACTTTAGAAGCAGGAATCGCTATAAGAATTTGTGATGGCAATGCCAGTAGAAGGCTGTGTTCAGATATGGGACCAAGATTGCTTCAAGCACTTTGGTAGAAGATGTCTGTCAGGAATTGGCTAGGGGAGCAAGATCTGGTGCATGGTATTGAGATCATATGGGCTCAGTACTGGTTGCCAGTCACCTACAAGGCCCCATTCAAGCTGCTGGTTTTAACTTTCAAAGGCCAAAACAACTTGAGGCCTGGATACCTAAGGGGCCATCAGTCTTGTTAGGAACTTCTCCAGAGGTTAAGATCTTCAGGAGAGACCCTCCTGGGAACCTTAAAAGTTGCAAAGGGCTTTTCAGGTACCCTCTCAGCTTCCACTCTTTTAGGAAGGGTGTAAAGACACATAGTTTCAAATTGGTTTGTGATACTGTTTAATATATTGTGATGATTTTAACTGTTTGTAAACTTAAATTGATGTAATATTATGTTTGGTTTTGTTTTAATTTTAATGATTCTATAGCTGCATTTGTTTTTACTTGTTCTTTTATTGTATTTTATTATAATTGTAAGACATTTTGAACACTGACTAGTAGTGGAAAGGCCAGGCAGAAAGATAGCAAATAATATTAATAAATAATGGAGCATGTGAAACTTTATTACATTTAATTTTACATATGTTGAATTAATTAAGATAAACAATTATTGATCTGGAGTTGCAGAACTTAAATGGTGTCATTAAATACTGCTCAGAAGGGAAGCCAATGGACATCAGTAATGGAAACCCCCCTGTCAAAGGTCAAATCTACATGCTGGTAGCTGTAGTAATGCGCCATGACTGGGACTATCAAGGGATGTGTGCCTCCTTATGTAGCTCAAAAGACGTAAAGAACAATAAAATCTGGGGGTTGCAGGGGATGAGAAACAGGTATAATCCTGCTCCCGCCTTCTTCTGGTCATTTCCACACATAGATTGGTCTCACTCTATGGAAAACACTGTTTATACAGAGCTTTCTCTCGTGTTCCAGTAATCTATGGTGTAATTATGCTGCTGCCTATATCAGGATAATGTATATCAAGTTCTGGCTTATTCAGTCATGGTTGAGATATTCATCATAAGCAATTAAGACATTAGATCTAGATTTATGTGTGGCTTAGTTATATGCACCAAGATGTTCTGTGCCATGACTTAACAGATAACATTTTCCCCTTTCACAACAAGAAAAATAACCACAAACTCACGGATCAGAGAGAAGCACTGATAGATGCTCAGAATCCATTGCCAATTTATGTGACTATCAACATCAAGGACAAATACAGCACTCAAGACTTCAAAGGTAAGGGAAGGCCGAGGTGGGTGGGGGAGGAGACTTCATATGTTATATCTTTAATGGCAATTAAATAAATTCTACATTTGGCTCTCTCTGGAATCCATAATATTTAAATGACAATATTACACCTCTTGATTATCACCACAGTCATAAAATATTGATTTTAGGTAACTACTGCTATTCTGACAGAGTATGTATTTATTTTGATAATAAAAATATAGAGTGGAATGGAGTTATTTTGACTTTCTGAACTTAAGGTGACATGACTCCCTTTTACATTTGTAAGTACACGTTCATATGACCTGGGGAAGACAGAAGAGTTGTTTTTGCTTTTGAGGAGAACTGTGGATTGGTGATTACACTGGATTTTGTTGTTATTATTCTAAGTTGCTGAGGTATCTAAGATTTTATGCAGTTGCACCATATGTGCACTATAGTAAGTGAGCCTTTACTGTGATTTAACAACAAAGCCTGAAAATTAAATTATCCCCCAACTAGCTGCATGCACATTCAATGAGCTTTGCATATATATAAATAATATTGGGGAGGGGTTTGCCCTATGACTGTGCAGCTTGTCCCAGGCCACACAGGCTGGTTTTTCTGGCATGCACAATGGGGGAATAGAACTCCCCAACTTCTGGCTATAACTCATTGTGCTACCCAAGATGCCCCCAGAAGAAGAGAATGGTAAACTACTTCTGAATACTCTCCATCTAGAAAACTAGGAAAGGTTCACCATGAGTCAAAATTGACTTGACACCACAATATATGCATGTACTGTATACTTGGTGGTAATTCCCATTCAGTTTAACAAAATACATTCTGAAAGCATGTCTGTGCATAGGCTTTTAGTTTCAGATATTCAAAAGTATTTTTGTTTTTCTGAAGTGCCAACCAATTTTGCTTTCTGAATAAGACTGTAGAAGAAATCAAAAACCTGTTTTCTTGTCTCATGCCACCAGTACATGGAGGCAGGCAAAGTAGGCATCACAGGGAATGTGATGGGAATGGTTTGCATGTTTCCCTCTTTAGGTTCTGTATTTCCATTTATATTTGCACTCCTTCTAAAATCATGCTGTACTCTACTTACAGAATGGTTAGAGTTCACTCCCTATGAGGTGGGATTTCTCAAGTATGGAGCATTTGTGGACCCCGAAAACTTTGGAAGTGAATTCTTCATGGGCCGCTTGATAAAGAAGCTTCCAGAAAGCCGGATATGCTATCTTCATGGTGATATATTGAATTTTTAAAGAAAAAAACCCCCTAAGTACTATAATAAAAATCTTAAGAGCAGGAATAGCTACTCCCCTGTTTCCTTAGCCTTCAAAATAAGGACCAGATCCAAAGCTATCTATTGCTTGATAAGTAATTTAGAAATGCCCAGTATTTTGGCTTGGCTTGGGGGTCATGGACTCATTCTTTCCTGGGGCATGTTTACATGCTGCCTTTGGGGGGCCACTGTAGTCGTGGCACTTCACCTAAAGACCATTACTCCAAACCAACAGGGCCCTAATGTAGCCTTCTATCCTTCCGAGGTTGGTAAAGACTCCAAACCAACAGGGCCCTAATGTAATTTCTTGACCATGCTTCATGGATCTGTGTATCCAGTGGAATATCCAGCAACACACTACTCTAATCAGTCGCTATTAAAGTGGGTACATTTACCTTGCATAGAAGCCAAAGGGCGGTATATAAGCCCCCCAAAAAATATCCAGCAACACACTAGTCTAATCAGTCACTATTAAAGTGGGTACATTTACCTTGCATAGAAGCCAAAGAAAGAAAGAAAGAAAGAAAAAGAAAAAAAAAGAAAAAAAAACAAAAAATAAAGAAAAAATATCATTGTGGCACCTTAAAGACTAAATGATATATTTTAATGTGAGCTTTCACAGAAATAAAGAAAATAAACAAAAAATAAAGAAAAAAATATCATTGTGGCACCTTAAAGACTAAATGATATATTTTAATGTGAGCTTTCACAGACAAGCCCACATCCTCAGACATAAAAGTGGCAAATATTTGTACACTTACACATGGCCCCCAAACAAAGAGACACAATTTGTACATTTACACATGGCCCCCAAACAAAGAGACACACATAGAGGTAAGCACTGCAGCCCTGCCTCCTCTTGATTCCAGTGCAATTGTTTGTCTACATCTGGAAGGTAACAGATCTACGGAAGGAATTTGCAATATCTCTGGGAACTTTCCATGTGAATCCAGATATGGATTGCCCAGAGATTCGATTCATATGGAGATCTCCCGTGGCATTTTTTCTTCTTCACCTCATTGGGATAACAGGGGAAAATGGCAGCTGTTACACTCCTCTTTTCTCCCTCCTTCTTGGAGGCTCCCGTTTTCACAGAAAGTGTACTCTTTGTTTGTAAGAGAACAACAACAGCAGAAACAGAGGGAAGCACATGAAAAAATGGCAGCTGTTACACTCCTCTTTCCTCCCTCCTTCTTGAAAGTGTACTCTTTGTTTGTAAGAGCACAACAACAGCAGAAACAGAGGGAAGCACAGCTACAGTGTTTCTCCTCTACATGTGGTAAATACACCTGCTTTAATAATGACTGAACTTTGTGACTGCCATTTTGTTTTAACGGAAAAACACAAGACTTTTGCCTTTCACCTCGTTGAAATGGTGGGAAAAAGAACACCAGTTGTAAGACTCCTCTGATCATTCCTCCTTGGAGATCATTCCTTGTCATTGTTTATAATCATCAGAACTTCTTGTTTGTCCTGGAGAGAAAACTGTGCCAACCAGCTGCTTATCATTTTCCTGTCTGTGTATCACTTGCACCACCTGTAGTTCTGGTGACTTAACTACTATTAATATGAAGGTTCCCATTAATATGAATTTCTGAACCGCTTCATAAAAGGAGTGGTTCCAAATTAGGCAGCTCATTGCATATCAGACCCAATATTTAGAACTGCAAGTTGTGGTAAAACCTGCTATATGATACATACCAGCTGGGTATATATGTTTGCCATGCATCTCTTACCCTGCCTCCATTAAGTGATGGCTCAGAGAAAATGTTCCCATCAGCATTTGTTCTCTTTGGCCTTTTTTTTACTTGACCTTGAGTAATCTACTCAATTTACAAGCTTGATGTGTATAAACTTAGGCTCTGAAAATAGAAGCCTAGTCAGTGCCGAAATTAACTGTACTGTTGTAGTCACAGGCAAGCTGAAAGGAAGGGCAATTTTCAAGAGATTTATTTTCCTTATGAAGTATTTATTTTCATCTCTCCCCTTTATTTTTAGGCATGTGGAGTAGCATATTTTCAGTGAACTTGATGTACATCTGGAATAGGGTTAGCACCTCTGAGGAATTTTGGCATAGGTGGACTCAAGACAAATTAATAGATATTGGTGAGTATATGTGATCCTTCTGTTTTACCCATTTCTCTTCTATGAAGTAGGAATTTCATCATGTCCTGCAACGGCATCTTAAGAAACGGGAATCTGGAGTTCCTTTCTGTTCTTTACATATTAACCGATTAGGGCCACTTCACGCTGCCACAAGGTTGTTCATTGTCCAACCTGTGTAGGTTTTCTCCAGCATTTAGTATAAACATCAGATTTGTGACTTGGCAGCCCACACGAAATCATGCCAAAGAATGGCGTGCCAAAACATAATGAGTAATGCACACTCATAATGCACACTTCCAGTGAGGAAGCTACCTGTGACAAAGGTTGAAATAGAAGGCCATCATCATCACACATCATCTCAAAAAAGCTGTCCCCCCCTTGGTACAAGGCAACACCGCAAGTGTTATTAATAGAATCAGCCCCACCCATAGGTAGAGTAAGGATCAGTTTGTAAAGCTGAACAAGAATGAACACTTAATGGGAGGCCCTGGCCATCTTGTAATGGAGCAGTGGAAGGATCATACTGAGCCCTGGGTTTGGGGCAAGGAGCAGCAGCAGCAGCCAGCTCTTCCTCCTTTACTTCATTACTGTTGTCTTCCACCAAAGAACTTCTCTTGGCCCTCCCTGGTCAAATCAGTCTGAGAATACTTGGGGACACTTTTCCATTATTGAGATAGGATGCAGTCTTTCAGATGGTTTTTGCACATGGAAGGGGAAAAGGCATCATCTGGTCTCAGATGCATGGTAGTTGTCATCTCAGAGGAGGAGGACACAGTACCTGAAAAGCTAATAGCATATCAGGACTGCTTAACAGTTCTGTTGGTTCCACTTTGGAATGGAAATGAATCTGGACTCAATGATCACTTTCATGCTTGCTTGTCAAGCCTGTAGGCTCTTATAAACCGTTACTGACACACATTAGTATCCTAAGTGGGAAGGGAGGTCCTGTTTCACTGAACAGGGAGGAACGTACATCTAGGTAAATATGTTTGGGGTTGGCCTTTTACAGCCATCTCATTGTGGGTATCCATGTACCTCTCAGTCTAGTTAATGCATTGCACCCTTGATGAGGATTGTCAGTGTTAGACAGAGATGGGACTCAAGTCACGGGACTCAATGTCAAGTCAGACTAAAGTCACACGGATGACTCGACTTGGACTTGGCTTGGTAGTTTTTTGTTTTCAATAACTTAGATACGGCTTGGAACCCACCTACTTCTCCCTTTTTTCTGGGGGGAAAACTTATTTTTAATAGGGGCTCAGACTTGGGCTTGGGATTCAAGACTCGAACTTGGACTTGAGTCTTGGTAGCAAAGACTAGACTCAGATTTGGTACTTGGACCCAAAGACTTGCCAACATCTCTGGTGTTAGAAGCCTTGCTTAGCTAGTGCTGGCTGAAATCTTGTTGCTTGGCTTAGTAAGTCACAAGTTCAGAGTAGACCCACTGAAATCCTCCCTAAGTTCCATTGATTCAAATGCATCTACTCTACTTGTGACTTACCATGCTAAACTAAATCAGTTGCAACTAGAGTATGCCCACTTGAATCAACAGAACTTATGAAGGAGTTGACTGACCAAATCCCTACTGATGCAATGGGCCTACTCTAGTGTGACTTACTACACATAGCAACTGCATCTCAACCACTGAATTACACAAATGTTAATGAATGCTTATAAACAGAAAAACAAATTTTTGTCACATTTTGTGCCGTACTACAGATGAAGAGCCCAATCTACCTACAAAACCATATGAGATAAAGAGCCACATGTATGTCCCAGCTGGAACATTTGCCACTAGACTTCGAGGGGTCTTGACAGATCGCCTGTCTGTTGCTCAGTATCACAATTTCCTGAAGGGGTTTCAGCTGCATAACTGTTACTTGGAGAATGAACATTTTCATAGATGGAAAGGTAAAATGGTGGATATGGTTGTTGATTGGGAGTACATTGTTCAGTAACACTCTTTAAGAACTTGCTTCTACAAGGTTAGAAATAAGCTTCCACACACAATTGACTGTACACAGCTGTACACAGATTAAAAAAGAACACTGTCCTTGCCTGCAAGTTTGTGTTGTGACACTTAATAGATAGGGATGATGAAGGGAAACAACAGAAGTCATCTGGTATATCAACAAATGACTTTGACACCAAGTGGAGAAATAAAGGGCATATATGTATATAAGTACTAAATTACCATTGCTTAATTCAGTATCTGTCATGTTATAAGGGGGAAGAAACAACAACCATATTTATTTATATAGATAGGTATCATAACTACCATGATGCCTGTTTAGGGGTGGCTGAGCTTCAAAAATATAGGGAGAAAGGCATCTCATATTCCCACTGACTTCTAACAATGGAAGATACATCCTCCAGTTGCAACTGTGGTAGAGCGCTGCCACTGGAAGTACTAATCTATTGAGACATATGGCATTAAAGGGCCTTTAAGGCTGCATTCTAGGTGGGGAAAGGACCCATTGGTCATGAAAGTACACAGTTCTGAAAAAGCAGGCAGAACAAATCTAAAGTATCCTCAAGCGTCATGTGGTTTAACAGTTCTCAATCTATTTGGACTTAAAAGTGGTTTTCAAGGCCACGCTCTGCCTTCCTCTAAAAAGAGTGGACACTGGACCTATACATTCATACGACAGCCAAATGCTAAGCATGTTTGATCATAAATAATTCCTACTGATTTCCCTGGAACCTACTTCCAGTTCACATCATGTGAACTGAAGTCCTACATCATATCCTAGAAGGCTAGTTCAGAGAAGCCTAAGGAATTGTGAATGAATCGGCTTACTTTCTTGGGAAAGCAAAACACATGCTCTTATATATTGTAGGTCTCATAATTCAGTGCAAATTACTCTCAAGGACATGGTTTGGAACTGCAGTCAGAATGCAGAAAGAGTGGATTATTTTTTAATTCAATGGGCGTTTAAAAATCTGAGGAAGGCTTACTGTTTGCTGGTAACAGAAATGTATTCTTTTTACAGCTACTGTCTTGGACCAATGTCCCAACCAGCTGACAGAGCATGAAGACTACTTGGGAATGGTGGATGCTGGATTTTTCATCAATACAAGTTGCCCACCACTTTTAAGGCCAGAGAGGAAAGTAGATGTCATTATCCATTTCAGTTACAGTTCAGGCTCACAGACACTGGTAATAGACTTTGTAGTGCTTGCTGGCACATTTTCCTCCTGCAAGAGAGATTTATACATTAGATTACAGAAGATAAGCAGTATTTCCCCAGGAACAGTAAAACTGAATTTTGCTTGCATTGAAATGGCGTTGAGTGAATTGTGTTCAAAGGCCACTCTTCTGTTCATTTGTCTTCATCAATATTGAAAGCTCTATAAAGTTCAAAAACACTTAATCCACCATGATGACCTTTAGTTACACAGGGAATGAATATTAATTCTGTAGGTTATGTCTTTATTCACTGAACAAAATGCTGACACAAGCTTTCCACAAAGAGTGATCCTATTTGGAAGATGAAAACAAACCAGCAAGATAAACATTAATATATTTGTCTTCCGATAAGGAACAAGTTGGCCAACTTCTCTGATAATTTATCTGACATGTTTCTGTGGTCCAAATTGTTTTGTAAGAGCTAGTGAGACAATGATTTTGAAAACGAAAAGATTGTTTGTTTATTCTAACATGAACTTATCCCAGTCCATATATGAAAATAAACTTGCTTTTCTTTTCTTATTGGTCAGCTAGATAGCAGATTTGATGTCCAGCACATCTTTGTTTTCATGTCTGATATCTACAGCAACATGGCTATGAAATATTTGCAAGCCTGGAGAGATAATGCCATAAGAAGAAATAAACAAGTGCTATAAAGTATAATCTGTCCTAAGTTTAGCAGCTAAACTCCAATTTACCAAATTCTAATAGTGTGATAACAAACATAGTGTAGAAAATTTCCAGTTAGTTACTGGGCTCGTATTTTATTTTATTTTAAAAATAATAGCCAAGAACCAAAGGGCTACTTCAGGAAACTTACAAGGCTCTGATAAAGTTATCATAGACATTCTGACTAGAAGATTTTAGGAGCTGAAGTAAAAAAAAAGAACAGTAGCATTTCCAAGCACTGCTTCTGGTTTTGTTAAATAGCAGGTTCTTATGCAACATTAACATGTCATTCAATTTCCAAAGGGGCTTAACATGTGGTATGGGTGACTGTTTCAGAAACATGGGGTCAGAGCAACCTTTGGCAATCTGGTACTGGAGACAAAGTAAGAATATATTTCTTTTGTTTGAAGCAATAGGTGCAGGAAAGCTCAATCAGGATACAAATTATGACAAATAAAACATCTACATGGTTAGAGTCAAATCTCAAATCAGATCATGGCAATTCATATAATTCGTGAAGGTTTTCACGGCCGGGATCTAATGGTTGTTGTGGGTTTTTCAAGCTCTTTGGCCGTGTTCTGAAAGTTGTTCTTCATAACATTTCACCAGTTTCTGTGGCCGGCATCTTCAGAGGACAGGAGTAGCACTGTCCTCTGAAGGAAGAACGTTAGGAAGAACAACCTTCAGAACACGGCCAAAGAGCCCGAAAAACCCACAACAACCAATTCATATAATGTTTGCATTTAAGTGTCGAGTTAGGAATTCTGAAGTGCATGTTTATAATATAATCTGGACCTCTCTTCCTCTGCCCCCCCCATTTGTGCTTAATTCTAAAAAATGTGCTTTAAGAGGTACATGGTGCAATTATTTTGTTCCTCATTGTCAAAGTGGTGCATTTAATTTTGTTTCATGTGCAAGACTCTCAGCCTTTGTGTTCAAATAGATTGTGTAGTTCTGCCTGATTGGAATGCTAAGGCTTTGCAATATTATTTGTCGGGCTTCACAACAGTTTGCTTGCTTTCACTTCTCATCTATCTCTTATTTCAACTTCCATTTGAATCTAGCCTCTAGAACAGGCTTGCCAGTACTACAAAGCACAAGGAATCCCATTCCCAGAAGTTGTCCTAAGTGAAGAAGACAAGAAACACCTGAAGGAATGCTATTACTTCAGTCGGGCTGACGTCCCTGGTTGCCCAATCCTGGTTTTCTTTCCACTAGTGAATGATACTTTCCGTTTTTACAAAGCACCAGGTGAGTGATTGACGGGAGCCAAGCAAGTGGACACAGCTTGCCTGCAGACTACAGCCAGAATCCTGTTAGAAGAAACTGTGGTGTGGGGGTGGAACTGCGTAACTGGTTCCCCAATTTAGCAGGGCTGCAAAATATAACCAGTCATGCACTGGTAGAGAAATAGCTTGTGCAGCTAGCTAGTCATCCAACATCATGCAATGAACCTCTTCCAGGGTATGGAATGGTTGACATGAGTATTCTTCCACACACAGTATTCCCACCACAGTTCTGCACTACATATTTATTGCCCATTTGACAAGTTCTCATTTGGCTGAGTGCTGGTTCTAGGTTAGTAAAACCCTTGATTAGGAAAAGTTGGTTTTCCAAGGGGAATATCTGTGTCTGCAGGTTATATTTACTTCTCTAGCTTACGGTGGAGTAGAATATCTTCTATTGATTGGACAAGTGTTCCGAACACTTTGAAAAAAGTGACAGCAACAAATGAACCACAGTACTAGGATTTTTTTTCCAGTTTTATTTTGTTTATTAGGTTTATAAATCTTTCTGCTTGCCCTCTTAAGAGGACTGCTAGAGGTAAGAATCAAATGCATTAAACACATAAAATGAGATTAAAAACTCAGAGTGCACTAACAAAAAAGAAAGGCCTGCTATCCAACCAATTAAAGCCTGTTTCAGCAACAGCCCTCATACATGTCAAAGGCCAGCCTGACTAGAAGGGTCTTTGCCTGCTGATATAAGGCCCACAGCGAGCTTCTAAATGAGTCCTCACTGCATAGTTACAACCTACTGTAAGTCGTGTCTCAGGTACTTCAGTAAAAAGTCAGAGAAGAAAATGGAATTCTGATGATAGCTGTAAGATCAAATGAGTTTATTGTAGTATTGTATTTTTTTAAAAAAGAAAAACAGGTTAGCATGGTTTAAAGAAAACTCAAGACCCAGAATAAACTGTGCCAGGAATCTTTGGTTTAGAACAGAATGTCTCTATATATTTTTTCTGAACTAGGGCAAAAGTAACAACCTGCTTTTTTTTAATCTTAGGTGAGCAACGCTGTACTGATGCTGACATGGAGGCAGGAAAGGTTGACGTTTCCACTTGGCGGACCCCCTACTCTACTTTCTGCCTCCAATACACTGAGGAGAATTTCGATAAGCTAGTGAACTTGAGTGAATATAACATCTTAAACAACAAGGACATGCTTTTGCAAGCTTTGCATGAAGCCGTGGAGCGGAAAAGACAACAGCAGCACTGCTGCAAGAAATAATTCCCTTTCTGTGTGCCAAAACATGTTGACTAGGGGTGGGTTGTTTTTTTTTAATGTGCTCAGAACGTGGGACAGGAAGGAGACGGAGAAGTGAACGGCTCACTGGTATCAGTTTCATCTCTTCACTAGTAGACGTTCCGTGTTTCAGTAGGGGAACTGTTCTGGATTTTATTGGGAGGTCAGGAGGATTTACCTGGAGGGGCAGAATTCACTGTAAGCTGCCAGTGTCTATTTAGGGATGTATTTAATATTAAATTGGCAAAAAATGGAAAACACTAAGAGCATGTGTTGCCTCTTTTTTTAGAAGAACTATTCAAGCATCATTAATACAGGGGAAATAATTTCTCACACAGGCACATGCACTGGAAGTACTCAAAAACTCTTCACAATTGTAATACAGTGGTACCTCGACTTAGGAACTTAATCCGTATTGGAACGGGGGTCGTACGTTGAAAAGTTCAAAAGTTGAGGCAAACTTTTCCATAGGAATGCATTGAAAACCGTTTAATCCATACCTGCTGTTTTTCATTCCTATGTTCAGGTGCTGTTCGTAGGTAGAGGCATTAGTTCCCATAGGAACTAATGCAAAACTGGTTAATCCATACTCTACCACTAGGGGGATAATTTTTTTTATTTTTTCTTCTTCTTTTGACCTAAGATGAAATTAGTTCAAAAAAAAAAAAAAAAGGCAGGAAAGGTTTTTTTTCTCTTTTTTGGTTTGTATGTGGAGACTCTGTTCACAAGTTGAAGCAACTTTTTGCGAACGGAGCAGTTCATAACTCGAATCGTTTGCAAGTTGAGAAGTTCATAAGTCGAGGTACCACTATATATGGTCAGTTGTACTCTCTTGCTCTTTTGGTAACCATTGTGAGTACATGGCAATCACTGGCAAAACTGGTGACACCTTAGAAGAGCTATGTTATCATTCCTGGCACTCCAGATACCTCTGTTTTCCAAAGCTAATTTTGTACTGGCCTTTATGTGAAAGAGCCAAGGTCATGGGCAGGAGAGGACAGAGATAGTTTTCAGAGGCTCCTGAAGCTGAAGGTCTTTTGCAAGGTACAGGAAGAGATTTGTGGAGCACATTGCCTTGGTGGAGGAAAAAGAGAGGAGTGTGGACAGATACAGGAAATACAGACTGAGTATAACACAGTGCTTAGACCCAACCATGTTTAATTCCCATCCACTGCTTTCATATTTGGCCTTCCTCACTTTTGGCTTGTAAGCATGTGTTTATGTGAATAATCTAGAAAGTTACTCTTGATATAATAAGGCCCTGGGACAAACTTCCTCCGCTGTTGCTACAAACATAAGGCCCAATACAGTCCAAGTGTATATGAGTAGCCCCACAGTGTCCCCTGAAATTATAGTTTTGTCTTCCTGCTCATCTTACCTACATGTCTGTAAGATGTGCATAGCATTATTTTTTAAAAAAACTGGGAATGCTACTAGCTGGACTGTGGTACAGAACAAATCTAAGTAGCCTAAGTTTCCTGTTATTTTGGCAATAATTTGTATTATAAGAAGAAGAATAAACCAAATGGCTAAGCTCATGGGTGCATCCCAAATCTACAGAAGTCATAAAACACATTATATCCCTTTTTCTGGGAGAATGGTGAGATGTAAACAATCAATTTCATAATTTTCATAATTCTAAGTACAGTATTCAAGTATTCTAAGATCTAGGTATTAGAGCTAAAGTGTTAGACTATCCATGAGACTAATGAAAATAATAGTACTTAGATGTTTGTGGGACCAATGTAAGATACAGTGCTTTTCTATAAGGTATAGGTTCCCCTTGACATTTAGTCCAGTCGTGTCTGACTCTAGGGGGTGGTGCACATCCCAGTTTTCAAGCCGTAGAGCCAGCGTTCGTCCAAAGATAATTTCCATGTTCACATGACCAGAGTGACTAGACACAGAATACCGTTACCTTCCCACTGAGGTGGTACCAATTTATCTACTTGCATTTGGATGCTTTTGAACTGCTAGGTTGGCAATAGCTGGGACAAGCGACGGGAGCTCACTCTGTCATGTGGATTCGATCTAACCCACTCTAATTAATTATCTGTTGTCAAGTTCATTCTGACTTACGATGACCCTTTCCATGGATTCTAGGTACAAAGTACTCAGAATTGGTTTACCCACCCCTCCTCCTGGCAGCACTGTAGGACTGTGTAGCTTGCCCAAGGCCACACAGGTTGGGTCTTCTCTCAAGAGGTGCATTGGGAACATAAGAGGTGCATTGCAGCCAGGTATCCAACTTATTGAGCTATCCAGTTACTTCCTCTAAGTATGGCTATGTTTGTGTACCACCTGCTTTTTTGTGGTGAGTTTAAAACACTTTCTAAAAACCACAACATGGCATATAGCATGGATGTCATGGGGAGAAGTTGTTAGAAGTGTTTTCAGTTACAGCAATCCTTAAGAATTGCACAACCATATTTACTACTGCAGTTCCAACAGCAATGCTTCGATTTCCTTGACCAGGACCTCTCTTACTTTTAGCATCAAATGCCATTTCAACATTGAATTTGAAGACTACTGTATATACTCGTGTATAAGCCTAGCTTTTCAGCACAATTTTTTTTGCTGAAAAAGCACCCCCCTTGGCTTATACTCGAGCCAGTGTCAAAATTACATGTTCTCCCCTGCGGTGTGGGTGTTTTCCAGTCTCCCCTGCTCATTTCCAGGTGCCTGCAGCCTCTGTGGGTGGTCTGATGACCCAGGTTAAGTACACTGCATTTCCGCTTCCAGGACGCTCCCATCCTCCTCCTTCTGCATATTCTATGTACCCACCTTCCTCCTCCCGCCTTACTACCCCATCCTCCGCTTCCCTCCATCTTGTTACGCAGCAGTAGAGCAGTAGATAAGCTCAGCATCTGGTATGAGTCCTCTCTGCACAGGCAGTGAAGTGTGTCTCGCAGCTCAGAAGGGCAGTATCTTCAAAAACACTTAACCTACCGATGCCTCAATTAATGTAATTTTATTGGTATCTATTCTTATTTTTGAAATTTACCAGTAGCTGCTGCATTTTCCACCCTCGGCTTATACTTAAGTCAATAAATTTTCCCAGTTTTTGTGGTAAAATCGGCTTATATTTGGGTTGGCTTATACTCGAGTATATACGGTATTTCAACTACTACTGTCCCAATACTAAGAACACTCTCTGGGTGGTTCACAACTAATCAAAGGCATAATTACAAATCATATGATTAAAAACCACCATATTTATTCCCTCTAGACCATGTCTACTTAAGGCGGCTTACAAAATAAAACAGCACAATATAAAAATAAATAAAATCATAAAAATTTTGATTACAATTTGTTAGAACAATTAATTTAAAGAATAGATTACCAAGATGGAATAGCATAAGAAGGAAAAAATAAGAAAGATTTAGTTGACTAAATTATTTATTAAATATAATAAAAACCTTGTCACTAGCTGAAACAGTAAAACCTGCATTAAAATAGAATTAAACAAATGTAAAACAAATATGAACTTCTCAGGTCAACAGTAACACTAGTAAAAGGCATCTTTATATAATTGCATTTTAACTAGCTTCCTAAAACAGAGATGCTGCCTGTTGAACTTCTGTAGGAAGCTATTTTGCATTTGGTGCAAAAGGATGGTAACTGTTTCGATATTATTTCAGTAGACATTTTCAGGTACAGAGCTGCCCGTATAAGCACAAGGAAACACTCTGCAGCTATAGCAGAGGATTATAGGGATAAAAAAATCATGTGCAATGCTCCCATAAATTTCTGTGAATGAGGGAGGGCAATAGCTTGATTTAAAAAAACACAACAGTGTTGCTTCAAATGAGTATTACTTTACCTTGAGTCATTTCCGTACATGAGGTGTACATACAAAGTTTCCCAAGACAACTGGATACAGAAGTAACTGGGTCATTTAGTTACTGGTACCATGCCAAACCGCTTGCAATAAGAGCAGTAGTAATTACAGAATGTATCTGCCAAAACATGAAAGCCAGTGTTGCACCAGGTACATGAAACAATCATGTGATAACATTAATCCCCGTTTTTATGAACTATTTTGCAAGAATTAATGGATCAGGAAATGAATTTGGGAAACTAAACAGTTAGTATTTAATATGAGACACATAGCATAATAAGCAGGAGTGGTAACATTATATACACACACAACTTCCTGCATTTAATTTCCTCCAGTTCAATTATTTTGTATTATTAAATATGTAATGGCAGGCACACAGTAATAACTCTTTTATCTTCAACATGCCCAGCTACTCCCCAATCATTGTTAAAAATAAAAGATGCTCCATGGTATTTATCTTGGAAGACCACTAATGGTGGCAACCGTAGCTGGTGCTGTTATTAAATTCCTCTAATTTTTTCCTGCTGCTTAATTTCTCGCCCAGAGGCAGAGTCATAACATCTTATGGAAGCACATGATGGTGAAACTAAAAACAAACCCCCTACTTTCTCATTCCTAGCTATACAGTGTGGTGGAAGCATGTACATATATCCCTAATTGCACGCCTACTTGCAATTATGTAGATTGAGAAACAGATTTTTCTGATGATTTTTACAATGTGTATAGACCATGCTTTAGCCATTTGGGTGCTTGTATTACTCGGATACAAGAGGTTTCACAGTTTCAGTAAAGGTGGCTAAACCAGCTTAAGGATGTGTCGGCACAGCATCATGAATGATTTCTTGATGTGAAATCTCTGCAGAGCAAGTGATGTAATTTCTCCGCCTTGTTTCAAAAGATACAGGCAAATGACTCTGGATTTAAGCCAGAACGAGTCTGGAAGCATTGACTACAGTAGCCAAAAAGGAAAAAAAAGTATTCTGAAGTACTGACAGAACCTTTCAACCAGGAGGGTGGATCCTTGAGCAGTTGGAAAGGGGGGGATATTGGTGGTTAAGTGGGAAAAAAACTGGCACTCATTTGCAACTTGGGTTCCAAAGTAACATTAGAGGTTTCAAACTCAAAGAAAATATGCAGAGATGAT